ATATATATTACCGTCGTCGAGTTCAATGAGAATGACAGTGCCGACCGTTCCATCACCCTCAAGAACATCATTTCTCTTGTAAACTTGGGGCATAAGTTGGACGAAGAGTTTGGGCAGATCGGGCGAGCCATACACAGCCCACACATCATCTGCAGGCACCCCTACTTCCATCTCGTTAGTTACACGCGCAGTCATCATTTTGTTAATTCAAAATTGATGCAAAYAAACAAATTAAAAGCTAAGCTCTTCGAACAATTTTTGGATGTAAGGTGTGTTTGATTGATCTATATCTAGTAGCCTTTTTATATATTTACTCCAGGTATGGTATGTAGAGATCGATCTTCGTCTTTGTTTAATTTTGACTTGTATTTTGATATCTTTCTTGTACAGCATTAACTTTCGGAAGCTTCGACGATTCTCTGCATGCATGTCTACCAAAGTTTGAATTGTGCTAGCTCCCACCATGCAATAACTTGGCAACTCTCAAGCACGTTTTGGATAAGCCTTAGCCGACGGATTCGTTTGACTACTTTGCTCTCATTGATTTAATGATAATGAAATTACCAAAAAGTCCAAAAGTATAGGTAGGTTTGTGATAGCGTGTGGATGCGGCGATAACAACAAAGGAGAGCCAGCCAGAGGACTTGAATTGAGAATAGGAATACATGACATGAATTGTTCAATTTCCAACCAAATAAGGACGTCAATGAATGATGACCTGTTCTGTACTGGCTGGCTGCATCACCAACTATGTTTTTGATATGGCTAAGGCCATGATGGAATTTGATCCAGGTCTCTATTACAATGAACATGTTACATCACCAACTAAACCAGTTGGCACCTTCATGCATTTAATTTTAAGTTGAATAAATTGAGTTATTAATGCTGCCTTTCCCCTTCATGAATGATAATTACAAAAAAGTTATCTGCTGTAAATAAGAAATATGCATCCATATAMAAAAAATGTCAACCTCCTAAGAAAGGTTCAATTGATGTTATTGTCTAATTCCACCCCATTATTATGATTCTTGTTGATGTTCCTGATCTTCCCCACCCTTCTTGTTGGCTTCATATGTTTGATCATTCTCAATTATCCATTCATTTCCTTCTATAAATGATGTTTGGTTAGAAATATGTAAAATTTAAGATTTAGTAGTAAGGTCTCTTTCTAGTTAAAAATGTCTTAGTTATTGCCTTTGTAATCAAAGCCTAAATGTTTTGTCATTAATAAAGTTCTTTTATGTACTCAAATACTTTATTCTGAACAGCATTATAGGATGATTAATTTCATGCAACATTTATCAGATTACTTGATGGTGGCTTAAGCTTAGTTCTAATTGTTGGACAGTTTTGTATGTCCTTAGCTCCAATCAATTTTGATTTACTTTTGAGGACAGACACAAAAATGTTCAAAATACCAA